CGCGCGCGCTTGCACTCGTCCCGGACCAGCGAGAGCAGGATGCACTCCATGAAGATGCTCGGGTCGACCTTCCACGTCCCCTCGCGCCGGGGCCCCTCCGGCTTCTCGACCTCGATGCTCAGGACCGAGTCCCCGCTGCCCTCCTCGTCGGGGTAGGTGAAGGAAAGGACATCCCCGCGGTTGGCTTTGATCGTGTGCAGGAGCCTCACCGGGCGCCCCGCGGCCTCCGCGGCGGCCTCCCCGACCTCCGAGGACGGAATCGCGAGGAGCGGCTCCGCGCTGGCGTCCTCCCGGGCGAGGCCGTCGCCGGCGGCCGCGGGCTTCGGGATCGCCGTGGCCGTCAGGGAGACGCCTGTCATCAACGACGCCAGGCTCGCGCCGTCGGCGTCGTCGAGGGGGGCCACCACCTGGATTTCGCTCTCGGCGCACACCACATAAACCTCATTCGGCGCCCCACACTCGGCGACGATGGTGGCCCGATCCTCGACGATGTACCCCTTCAACTGGTACGTGATTTTGTTATTCATCGCGACGGAGTAGTTGAGGGGGAGGGCGTTCTCCGCCAGAGCCGAGGTCCCGTTCTCATCACAGCTGTCCGTCAGGCTGCTGAACGAGCCCACCTCGGCAAGGCTAGGGAGGGTGGGCCGCTTGTGGGGATCTTTCTCGCCTTTGTGTTGGCGAAGCTTCCGGTGGTTCGCCTTTTTTTCCTTGATGATCATGAAGTGCTTGGAAAAGGCATCGCAGATCGCGCGCATCGAGTCGGCGGTCGCGGAGACGCGAAGGCACACGGTGTCGACCCACATCGACAGCTTCGTCGAAGACTCCCACAACGAATACGTCCGGCCACGCAGCTCACGGAAGAAACACAAAAACGGGATATTCGTCTTTAACGTCAGCATCGTGGTCGGCAAAAACGGTACCTCACGCAGGCCAATGAGTTCGAGGCACTGGTGCTGGTAAACGTAGGCTGCGATGAGCTGGACCCGAACCAGGTTGTGATCCCCAGCGGACTTCGTGATGAATATTTGGTAGCGAAAGACATCGCTTTCACGGAGGACAATCGGCGTTGTGGAAGGCTCGCAAAGTGCATCGCCCACGGCGCCAATAACGCGGATTTGCATGTTTTTCTGTCGTAATATCCGCACGCACCCTTCCGGGCCGTTGCCCTCGTATAAAAAGACCACCGCACACGGCGTAGGCCGGACGCGGTACCCCCTCCCCGCCTCGACCTCATCCCGGACGGCCTGATTGGTGGGATAAAGGCTGGCGGAACTCACCGCCACGTAACGCGCGTAGAGCTCCTGAATGGTGAAGGCGATGGGGGGAATACGATCCTGCAAAAGACTGCCTCCTTCCCGCCGGATGTAGTATCGCACCGAGGAATCCATGTAGGCCTCGTAAAGCTGGACAAAGAGGGGGGACCGCGGGCTCGGGAAAAACTCCTGCGTGAAGGGAAGCAGGGCGAGCTGACGGGAGCCCTTGCGCATGGGACAAAAGGGCGCCGTCTTCAGCGTCTCTGAACTAGGTGCTGCTCCCATGTGTTTGTGTGTGGTCTGCTTTTTTATTAATTTGCGTAGATGACGTTACTCTACGTATAAATTCGAGGTCGCCCTAACACTAAGTATTAGAGAAATATATATATATATATATATATATATATATATTAACGATTTCTTCACCCCTAACACTGATACGCACACAGTTTAATTGTTCAACTACTGCAAACGTTTTTGAAAAAAAAATCCCCACAAGAAGTGACGTGTATTAAATATATTACACCAATATTATTTATTCCTTATTCTTCGTTTTCTTGAAAAAATATAAATTACTTGAACTTACTGGTGTTAGCTTTGAAAAAGTTGTCAGAATGACACATAAAAAAAAATGAAAGAAAGGGCGTAGAGTGATAGTAGGATTTCCTGAAAATAAATGATAATGCAATATAAATCATATTTTAAAGAGTAGTGTATCACAGACTTTTTTGTACTATAGTTTGAATAAGTTATTAGATAAGCATGATTTAAGGACCTGTAACAAAGTGGTATATTTGATTCATAAGGTATATATGAATGATATTATGGAGCTAAATGTAAGATAAGAATGATAGTTTGACTTATATACTAGAAATATAAAAATAATAGGGATGACTACAAAAGTATATAGTACCAGAGGGTAAATCACAGTAATTAGCAATGATAAAAGTAATTTTACCTTAACCAAGATAGAAAATAAGTACAACTAAGAGTAATAAAAGGAAACACCTCACCTCATAATGGCTTCATGAACACAGTTGCAGTCTATATAGTTTACCCATCGGGAAAGGAAGGAAAAAATTTCTTTCACTTTTTTAATTGGGCTCAAAAATTTACCTGCCTCACTTTTTTCAGTATGCTCGTGAAAAAGCATATTGGTATTTCACTATAAACATGTTGTTAATAATCCCAACTCTGATTTCCACCAATGTTGAAAAGTTTTTTTTTGCCTTTACCCCTCAAGGCTCACCTTTTCCCCCTCCCCCCTCCCCTTACCCTTTTTTTTTATTTTTAAAGGTGTGGAACATGGTTAGACAATATTAGCGATCCTACTGTTGTCCATGAGCTCGTGGGCTTCAGATTGACGTGGATACAGTGGTGTTTTTTTTGCGGCTGGTGAATGACTACAAAAAAAGAAAAAGCTGCAAGCTTTATTTCGTTTTCGTAAACCAATCAAAATCACCATTGCCGGGCTTATGGATGTTGACATCGTGAAAAGTCTGGGAACTTCAGAAGTAGATCTCCTCAAGAAACTATTTCCTTCATCGACACAACTTCAATGTCATAGGGGAAGGAGAAAAAAGTATAAATAGGTGTATATATATACATAACGAAGAAGTAAAAGAATATGTAATTGAAACATCCATGCCCGGTAGTGGTAGTGAAGGTTGGTAACCCCAACGAATGAGTACTACATAAAAAAAACAACCCCCATATGTGCTATGAACTAAATGTTATGATTATTTTTTGTTAGTTTATATATATATATATATTAATACTTTCCCAAAGAAGAGGGGCTAACATAAGACAATATAAAGCGGTGATGAGCGGAGTTCAACCCCCTCGTCCGAGAACGGGCCCGCCCTCACAACGGCGTCGTCGGCGAGACGAAGGGGGGAAATCGATGGACCAGAAAGCCTTTTCGGCAACCCCGCGCGGAGCGGATTTGACGGAGCAATTTTCTCCGCCGGCCTGGGGTTTTCGCCGCGGTGGGGTCGTGGTGGTGGGCCGAGCTCTTCGTTGGGCTCCGCGTGGTGGATCGCCGGGTCCAATCGCTCGTTTTCATCTGCCATTCCTCCGACCGCCCGCCAAGATTGCGCAGGCGAAGCGGGTGAGAAAGGGGCGGGGCCCAGATCGCCAACACCTCCCCCCCCCCCTCCACCTCCACCCGGAGTTTGCTCGACCACGGCATCGTAAAAGAGATTTCCTGGCAGGGCATCACCAACACCAACCGCGGAAAATCGGTCAACATTAAAAGCCCCAAACAGCCAAAATGGTCCTCGGCAAAGAACGGGGGCATCGAAAAGGCCTCCAAGGGCTCGACCGGGGTGCAATCAATCACCTTTTCCGTCTCCATAAGGTGCCCCGCGAGCTCCATGGGGTAATCGGTGTTGTTTGGCGTCAAATTCGCCACCCGCAGTACCGAATCCCAGTGAATTGCGCGAAAAAAAGGATGGTCTTTTAAGGCCGCAAACCCACCCTGCTCCGCCGCCCCAATGCGATCGGACGGGTTGGGCTGAAGTAATCGCTCCACCAAGTCCCGCGCCTCAGGGTCAATCGCGCGGGGAAAGGCCAACGTCCCGGCCTGGAATTTTTTGATCTTCTGCGTCGTGCAGAACGCGGTGTTGCACTTAAAGGGCGAAACCCCCTGCATCAGCTCGTACAACACACACCCCAGGGCCCATAAGTCGCTATACGGGCCGGCCTTATTTTCAATAATCACTTCTGGGGAAATGTAGGCGGGGGATCCGCCGAAACGATTTAAGTCGTGATCCCCCAAATAGCAGGAGCTCCCAAAGTCGGCGATTTTGACATGAAAATCCCACGTCAGCAGCATATTCTCCGGTTTGAGATCGCGATGTTGGATGATGCTATCCTTCCAGGACTGCTCCTGCTCCGTTGGGGCCTTTTCGAATTCGCCCGGCAATACCGAATCCGGCGTGGGGGGATGAACATCCCGCTCAAAAGGGCTAGAAAAATTCTCCTCCGCCCCTTTCCCCGCCAAGCCCGTTGAAGGCGGCATCGGGGAGTTTGTCGGCGAGGTGGTTTTGCGGTATACATGCTGCCGGCCATCCCCGAGGTGCTCGAGCGCCAAGACGACATCCGCCAACAGGCGAGGCGCCATAGCCCGCGTATTCTCGACGCCGTATTGGGTTAAATAATCCGCCAAATTGCCGTTTTCCGCGAGATCCATAACCAAATACACGCAATCGTTATCCTCGGCCACCCCAAAAACATTTAACAAGCAGGAATGGTTGAGTTGACTGCCCAACAAGATCTCATTGCGCAGGGCGTGGAGGACCGGCATCCTGCAAAGCTCCGCTTTGTAAACGCGTTTGATGGCGACGGCGCGAAACGGGGTCGGGGGGACCGCCGTGGAGGGAGTTTTGGTCCGAAAAAGCGAAGGATTCGCGTACGGGATCACCGAGGTGGAGCTCGCGACAAAATCCCCATGTTCGGGCGTTTCGTAGGCCTTCGACAACGGCGTCGTGAGGCCACCGCTCCCCCCTACGCTGGAGGAGTGAATCAGCGGGACGACCGCCCCCCCGCCTCTGCTGGGGAAACTATTCCCGTCGGCGACCTCCTCCTCCTCTTCTTCCTCCGCTTCGCCTTCCTCGTCCTCCTCTGCTTTTGGCGATTTCGTCGAGTTTTCGGGTTTTTGTATGGCGGACCCGCCCGCGGGGTCGATTCGCTCGGGGTGGAGCTCCATCCCGCGCGAGTTCGCCCGCGAGGGCTGCGAGCAGAGCGACCAGGTGCTCACCGTCCGACGCGCGAGGCCCCGCCGGTCGTACGACCCCCCCCCGCGGCCCCCTCGAAGGAGGACCGATCGGTCGAGGTCGCGGAATCCCCCCGGAGCCGGACCATCGCGTTTAATATAAGCGTCTTGATATAACTATTCCCCGTGGAATGGGTGGACGTGGTCGA